TGAATGATTCAGCTGTTCGAATGAATCAATTGAATGAATGATTCAGTGATAAAAATCAGTGACTTGCCGCCACCTGCTTTATCTTTTCAGTTATTTAAATCATTTAATATTTCTATATTCAAAATTTTATATTTAAAACATTAATATCATCATGGATTTATGGATTTAATTGCACTCATTCCACTTCTGAACCTCATTAAATGTCTGAAAGTACATCAAACAACACTTTTGTGTTCTTCTGTGCCACCTCTACAAATTATTTTTGTTAATACTGATTTCATTTGATTTTTAACTTGTTTCTTATTCTACTCTTATTCTGTTGTTAAGCTTATAAAATATAATTTAAGAATTTGACAAAAGATGACATACTTTTAATAAAGTTAGAGGAGTCAAATATTACCTCGTAATGGGAAGGCTACTTTTTGATAACATTTTGGATTATTGATTAGAAGGTGCTCCTAAAATTTTGAACGTGCTCCTAAATTTTTTAAGTTAGGCGCACAAGTGCTCCTAAAAAGAAAAGTAAGCGTCGAGCCCTGCATGTGAGTGAGTCCATCGTATTAATTTCTGAACTTTTATTGTGCTACAAACAGAATGTATTGAGACCCGCTCCATCCAGACAGTTAAAGATAGAATTGATCTGGTTGTTGAAAACATTTGTTTTAGAGACCATGACTACTATTCTTTATATTTGAATGGCAGCCCTAGTTAAAAAAAAGCGGACAAGTGGATGAAGTTTATAAATATCCGTTTACTGTGAGCGTGTGCCGTTTGTGTGAATGCTAATGCATGATGTGTGGTCAGTGTGCCGCTTTTAAAGGTTTAATCAAGCTTAAACTACACATTACACTGAAATGATACGCATGTGCGACAGCAGCCGTGTCGTGTTGCGTAACGAAAGCTGAGTGTCACAGAACGACGGCCGCTGCGGACAGTGTGTGTGTGATCGACTGCCAGCGGCTGCTGGGGAGGTTGCCATGGAGACAGCAGTGAGATGGCTGGTACTGCTTTCCAAGGTATGATTCACACACACACACACACACACACACACACACACACACACACACACACACACGCACAGTTGAAGATGTGTACAGGGGGGATGATGTC